GACAGCAACACAATAATCTGCTGGGGTGGTTGTGGGATGGTCCTGTTCTGTTGGAGTTCTGTGCTAGCATGAAAGTCTCACTATTTCAGTCATTTTTAAAACAAAATTAGGGGGAATCTATAGAAGAATGTTGTATATATCATAAGAACAGATCAAGGAAAATCATGTGTCTGTTCATAAATCATTGTGACATTCATTTACTGATGTTTTTGAACTTGTGCCCTAATGCGTACCGTTTGTTGTGTCTGTTCTTGGTTGTCCAGGGACAACCGAGGTAAGAGAGTAATAGCGCCATTCATATAGTACATTACAGCCAATTAACAGCTACAAGTAAAGCTGTGCCTCCATTTGGCATCTTAATAAAATACAAATACTCTTTCTAGATCATGACTGTTTTTAAAAGGCTGTCTTCATAGAACAGCTGTCTGAGACTTGACTATTGAGCTGTTTACAAAATCTGCCTATGAGGATAGTCTGTGTAGCTGCCTCACTATTTCCCTGCTGTGGCTAGAAGTGAACATTGTAACTTTATCAGTGATTTCCTTGGAGAGTGTCCAATCCTGCGGAGCTGGGCAAAGTGCAGGATTGCAGAGCCACCTCAATTACCAATAATGTTTCATCACAAAAGCACCAGCCCTTTCCCCAGGGACACTTCATACAGAGTTGGATGGATCCTAGCTCAGTCTAAACAGCAATGAGTAAAGTAAGTGGCTCTGGCTGTAACCGCTCACATTGATCATCACCAGTGGTGCTCAAGCTTTGGGCTAGATGAGTGGCACAGGACTGGTCTACAAGCCAGATTGGGCCCCATGCCTCAGCATCGGACTCTGGAGCCGGGCACTGCCTCCCACTTGGCCTGAGCCCAGGATTGGGTCCTGGAGCCTGTAATTACCCCTTCCTACCCTTGGGCACCAGGATTTGGCCCTGGAGCCTGTAATCACCCCTTCCCACCCCTGGGCACCAGAACTGTGCCCCAGGAGTCTGGCACCACCCACTCCCAGTCCTGCACCCTGCATTTGGGCTCTAGAAGCCTGGTGCCATCCCTGCCCTGGCCCCCCTACCAGGAGTAGGGGCCCTATGCCACCACAGCTTGGCCCTGTGCACTGGGATCTGGTTCCCAATTGAGCAGTGTCACTGCTCCCCTAAAAATTTCCAGACCTGTAGGGAGTCCTGCAGGCCAGATGACATGGCAAGGGGTTGAGCACCCATGATCAACACAAAAAAAAAATCACAGGTCTCCTCCAACTTATTGCCTCCATCATCCCTACCGCTGACCCATGTGGGCCTGCACTCTTTTGGGTGGGGCTGTTTGACTTTTCACTTTGGTGCCACTGCTGAGGAGCTGTTTTTCAGTGGATCCAGAGGCATGTTCTCCCCTCTGCTTTTCTTTTAATGCCCATATTTTTGCCATGCTGTTCCTCCTTATTCTTACTAAAAAATGTTTCTACTTTATTGTTTTACCTTAAAGTATTTTAAAAAATGACCCTAAACTTAGTAATGATTTTGGCAATTTACTGATAACTGTTTGATGTGACTGTTTTGCTTTCAACAAAAATGCGGAACAAGGGAAAGAGTGCTTGTTGTTTTTCCTCCACAAACTTAACTCCCCATGCCTTCTCCCATCTTTCACACTGGTCTCGCTAGTTGATGATAGTGTGCAGAATTATTTAGCAGGGAATGTCCCACGTTTCCTCTGCTTCCTGTTTGCAAGTATAAACTTCTAGCAGCTTTTTCCTGTGTTCCTCCCATCTCTAAGAGCATGTTTTTTCTGAATGTATTCCACAGGTGCCCACAAAGAAGCTGAAGAAGTATGAGAGAGAGTATCAGACAATGCGAGAGAGTCAGTTACAGCAGGAAGATCCTATGGACAGATACAAGGTACAGGGGAGACTATGAAAATCTACCCCATTGGCTAAATTACATGGAAAAGTGATCTGATTTCACTAGTTAAAAAGAGGTGTTTATGCCAGTATCTCATCCATACTAGCATACACCAACAAACTCCAGAAACAGGGAACTAAGATTATGATTCAGATTCATCCGATTTCCATAGTGATCACTTTGGACACATGAAGTTATTCTTTTTTTTTTTTCCAGGAATATTTCAGTAAAAAAGCCCAACAACTTCTAAACAGCCCTCAAGTAGCCACATATAATATTTTTTTTCTTTCAGTTTATATGTTTTTAGGTAACTCTCCTGCTGTTGCGCTTTTACGGGAATCTGCGTGAGATGCTGAGAAAGAAAGGGTGATTCTCAACTACTGACACAAAAAGGAGGAAATGCATTTTATTTTAGTCAAAATGTGCATGGTCACATCCACAAAGACTTTTGGAAGGTGAACTCTTCCAAGACTGACATAAAGTTTATTCATTCATATCTGTTTGTAGCAAACGTTAACGTTTTATTTGTCAACACAGTGCCTGGTACAGTGGAACCCAGATCGATGTTTGGGGTCTTTAGGTACTATCACAATAGAAATAACCATGAAAAATATCCTCCTTTACAGGAGAAGCAAAATAAAGCCTCAGTTGTGTATGAAATGGAATAATGTCTGGTTTTGTTGCATGCATCATAATTGATATCAATTACACATTAATTGAATCAGCAATAGTTGGCCACTGGTTCAAAGTCAAATTATTTCTTTTTGATGTCTTAATTACTGTGGTACGGTCCAGGATTAGAGAGATGGTTGACAAAAAAGGAATAGCTTATTTGCTGTGGTTCACCGCTGCTTATGAAGTAACATATTTGAATTTCTGAATTCCAAGTTAAAACTGGGTCTTCCTCCTTCAAGTTGTTCTCCGTGGGTAGAGGCCCGCACTTATGTTAGAGTCCGAGGACATGCAGTTATTTTCACACAGAGCAGACTTGGGTCCTGATATTTGTGTTCATTTGAAGTTTTTCCAGTACCATGTTACCAAGAAGCAGGCAGAGTATTCTTATCGCTACCCTTTCTTATGTTTATCTTCAAATGCCACATTCATAGGTAAATCCAAAGTTATTCAAAGAAACAACGTGTGAATAATTTCCAATAATGAATAAATTTGACTGTTCCATGATCTACTTATGAACAGTTGCAAACAGATGGAAAAGGCAGAAATGTGGTGAATAAATTACTCGTTGCAAATTAAAAGCCTGACTCTGCACTCAAACTTGGGTGCACAGATGCTTATACCTACAGGAGCCTGTGGACTTCAGAAGGGCTCCATGCAGATGTTGGAGCCCATCTACTCATGTCTCATTATAGGATCTAGGTCTGTTTAACTCCATTGCCATAGTTAATAACATCTTAACTGAAACACAGTCCAAGAAACCACATTCTGGTTGATTGATTAACATTTCAGTGCACAGCATAGCTTTTGCTACATAACAGCAATTGCCATGGTAAGTGCAAATGCACTGCGAAACACTGATTAAGATTTATTAAGGAATATTGCAGATGATCCTTAGTTTAACTGGAATGATAGCATCTGTAAAACTACAGAGGAAGCACTCAGTAAGCATAAAATCACCATTTCCCACTTCCAGTCATGCTCCTAGAAGAGTTCAGCTGGAGCAGAGGCCCTGTGCCCTTTTCTTTAATGTCATGACTACATGTTGTTCCTATATAGTAAGAAGATTTATATCTATAAGTCCTGATAAAAATATATGGAACTGTGTAATTTTTAATTCTTGTTATATATTTGCATTTTTTGTCCTCATATTGACTTAATTTTTTTGATAAGTTCTGTATTTATTTTATTTACTATTCAGGACCTATTTACTTGTATATTTTCTTTTCAACCAGAAGCTTAGGTTTCCTTAGGTGGAGCCCTCAGATATGTGGCCATTTAACTGCCTAATGGGTTACTTAGCTGTGAACTCTTATAATACGGTTAATACATTCCAGCATTTTTTAAACTATTTTTTAATATTATGCTTAGTATGTTAAGTATCATCCCTATGTAAATGACATTAATGGATTCCATTGGGCATACACTGATTAGTACATTACAAGATGCTACATCTTGGCTGCTTACAGATATGAAAAAAACCCCAAAAATGAAGCTTTAATTTAAACTTGGTGTGCCCCTGCACTGAATGCAGCACGTGCCCAGAGAAGGTATTGCTTTAGTTGGACCCACCTCACCCAACATCTGTATAGAACTGTGGTACAGCAGGGCCTTTTGGTGCCTTTATTTAATAGCTGGTTGAATCAGCTTTAGATAAAAGTGCCTAAAACCCCGCTGATATGCCTGAGCTATACAGACTCTGCAGAGCCGGGTCAAACTAACATGCTGCCTCTTTTGCTAAAGCACTGTTTTTGGGGGGATTTTTTTTTTTTTTTGGTCACGTCTGTCAGCAGCCCTTGTATCTAAGATTGTACAAAAAAAGTGTATGATACTGAAGACTTGAATACAGTCCTTTAGTGAAAGGCTGTACTGTAATGCATTCACAAAGTGGGGCAGAATTAAGGTTGTGTTGAAAGTGTACATTTCTTGATTTTGGAGTATTTAACTATGCAAAATAATGTTCTGTAAATGTAGTTCTTTTTATGGAATATAGCATAGATATGAATTTTTATTGTAAGAACTAGTACTGCAATTGTGGCCAAGAAATTATTAGCTATTTTTTCTGTTTAGAAATAATCTATTTCCAGCTCATTAACTCTGACCATATTGTCCTTCTCTAGCTTGTTTATATTAATACAGAACTAAAATCATGCTTAAGAACACTTTTCATCTCCAAAGCACCATGCAAGCTTTGTAACTAATTAACCCAGCAAAATTTGGGGGATGGATGAGCAAGGATTATTGCCCTTATTTTGCAGATGAGGAAACAGGAAAAAAACGACTTATTTGGCCACAACTACAGGGCATTTATACACATACTTTTTGGTCCCACAATGCACTAGATATCTGCTGCTTTGGAGTGAGCCAATGCGCATGCAAGCTGACGCGCACTGTGCTATGTTGTGTGCAGTTGTATAGGTGATGAGATGCGTATCAGCATGCAGAAAATGGCGGCGGTGCACTTTTGAACTAAAGCACCTTCTATATGTTTTAGTTCAAAAGTGTGCAGCCACTATTTTCTCAGCTCTGATGCACATTTCACTGCTTATACAACTGCAGGCATTGCAGCACCAGGCACTTTTCAAAGCACCTGGCACTACAGCGCTTGCAGGTGTAAAAATGCCCACAGTGAGTCCCTGTCAGAGCCAGTAATAAGCAAAGGGTTCTGGTTTGCAGTAGGACAACTCTTGTGACTTCTGTTATCTGGATTGGGTTTGGTCAACTTTTTGTTGACACATTGATTTGATAAGTAGGGAGATTCCTCACAACCAGTTAAGTCGCATTCAATTCAGTCTAAAGCTTTAGTGGATAGCTTTCAGTACAAGAAAAGAGGTTCTTCAGCGGGAGATATTGTTTATGCTTGATTGATCCCAGTTTTGTATGTTTAATGTTGTCACTGGGCATGTCCAGACGAGCATGCATGTGCATTTCCCTGGGGACAAATAGCAGCAGCACAAAATGTCCCTGAAGAATGCCTGTGCACACATGCTCTGGCGTGTGACAAGTTGCCCCAGGTTGGGTAGGAGAGGCTGGGACCGGCACTTGAGCTGGCTCTAGCAACCTTAACTTGGGTTCTGCAGGCCTCCCGGGGCTCTAGCAGCAGCAGTCCAGCAGCAGGGAGCTTGGCTAGCAGACAGTGTGGCTCCAGCTGGACAGGCAACTCCTGATGTCAAACAAACCGTCCGCACTGCAAATTAGTAGTGCAGGGGCAGCATGTGCGGTGAGCGGTACCACATGCCCGTGCTTATCTGCACACGCCCACTGTGTCAGCCTAAGAACGGTAGAGATCTGTGCATGCAGGGTTCAATTATGAATGAAGTTTGTATACATGCATATGGGAAGGAGTTATCTTAAAACGAAACAAAATAAAACTCAGCTTCAGTGGTACCATTGTAATCTATTGTAACCTTTAAGGACTACATTTCCATCACGGCCAGAGCTAGATACCCCTGAACTGCTCTGACACTCTCTGTACTTTGTCAAAGGAGCCAGGATGGCTCTGCACAGAATGTCTCCCTGCTTCTGGGAGCTCCTACTGGGGTGATGTTGTTCATTTAGGCTATTGCTTAAGTGCCCTATTTAGCCTATGTTGTTCTATAATTTTACAGATTTTCCTTCCAACAAGAAAAATAACTCATCTTTTCAGGTCCCCATCCAGGAGCAGGAGCTTTTTTTGCTGGTGATTTTCTCCTAGTTTCTGCAAAATGGAGATCTGTGCAACAAATTAATTTAAATGTAGAATGTTTGGTTCCTCCTTGTTTTCACAGTATGCATTAAGCATTGTTTTGTTGCCTTTGCATATACGGGGTAACCAGTCAGATGTACACAGTCAACCCTGCTGACTATCAATAATTATAGCTTGGAATACCCTTTCTATTGATTGCTGGCAAAGTGTTATCCAGAGTTTCCTAGCACTGACTGAAGACATCTTTCCTGAATCCCAGTTTGAATGTCACTCTTGGTACAATACAACAGACGTAATCCTTGTCGTGTGACAGATCCTGAAAAATGGAGGGAACAGGACTATGATCTTTACACAGCCTTTATAGATCTGACCAAGGTCTGTTATCAGGTGAGCAGACTGACATTGTGGTTAGTTCTCAAATGATATAGATGCCTCCTCAAATTTGTCAGCATTGACAAGCAGTTACACAACATTATCAAAACAGATCCTGTTGTCATGCAGACCAGGATGAAGCAGGATATATGCTAGCTGCTCCCCTCTTCATGTTCTTTCTTGCTGCTGTACACCACACAGACACAAAGTTCAAAAGTGGCATTTCTTGAATATGACCTGGATGGAAGCCTGTTCAACTTATGCAGACTTGCAGCCAAAACCAGGTTATCTTATACAAACACTTGTAAACTTCAGTGCACCAAATATTGCACCATAGTGACTTTGAGCCACTCGCTGCCATAACAGAAGCATACAGCATCGTCATGCCCTTGGTAAATGTAAAGAAAACTCAAGTGCTTCTCCAACCAGCTCCAAAGACAAATCCCCCATGATTTAACATCATGGTAGAAAAAATGAGATAAAGGAAGGGCCATCATTTCAGGCCCCCTCTTCGAAGTGTTCTTTCAGAATCATCTGTTGTGAAGATGCTGTTCTAGACATCAGAGGTGCATCAGCAGTTTATGGATGCTTCCACATCTGTGTTTTTGAATTTTATGAGCTCAAGCAAGAGATGAATGATATTCTTAGCACAATTACATGGATGTGAAGCTCACCCTGCTTACCAGAATCACATCAAACAGAGTATTTCCATCAGCCCACATCATATACTGTCCTCTATGCCAGTGTTTCCCAACAAGTGTGCCACAGCACAAAAGTGTGCCGTCAGAAATGAACAGGTGTGCCGCAGAACTTTGCCATGGCAATGAGCTACGATAGGTATGAGGATGAGGAACGTCTTAACAGGTGTGCTGTGGAAAATTTTTATTAATGTAAATGTGCCTTCGGCTGGAAAAGGTTGGGAAACACTGCTCTATGCTTACTGAAGAGACTGGCTCACCAACACAACAGTGCTTTAGAAAGCCAAAACAAATCAGTTAGAGATCATGCTAGCTAAACCATAGCTTTGCTGGGTAGGACACGTTCAGAGCATGCCTGACACAAGACTACCCAAGTTCTTACTACATGGTGAGCTATGGAATGGCCGCCTTTCTTAAGGTGGCCAATACCAACAATGCAAAGGTAATGTGAAAGTCACCTGAAAAAAGTGCAAAATTTCCTATGGATATTTAGCAAGTTGTTTCTTCTACCAAACAATACTTGCAGGCCACAATAAAGTTGGGTGTGGCCACATTTGAAAAATCAGAAAATGAAGCACAATGAAAAAGACAAAAGCTCGGCTGATCTTTTCACCTCCTCCTTTCTCTGCTTAGTCTGTGGTTGGCCTCAAGAATCTCAGGGTGCCTGTACACGAGCAGCAACACTGCTCCAATGCACTGGAAATCCAGTGCATCGGAGCAGACTTGATTGTCACACTACAGCAGCCTCCTTCATCTTGTGTATCAGCATCCCCATGTTTAAAAATGGCGGCAGGGGCACCTGAACTAAAGTTTGTCGAATGAGCTTTAGTTCAGCTGCCTCTGCTGCCATTTTTAAGTGTGGGGACGCTGATATAGGAGATGTGGCAGTGCTTTAATTAGAGGGGCTCTCGGAGCCCCTCTAATTAAAGCGCTGCCCCCACCCCAGCACATGTAGAAGTGCCCTTAGTCTCAAGAACTGGACTAGGTAGCCACCAGAGAAGAAAACGTGGAGTAACCTACTTGTCTTTGAGGGAGTGCCATCACTCCCATCAGTAATTAAGACCCATTACGGTTGCTCAAGAGTAGTAACACCTTCTTTTTAATTGACCCCTCAATTGAAGGGAATTGAAACGTACAGCAAGGAAAAATAAAAGCTTCCCAACTCTGCAGATTGTGAGGAGCCGCAGGGAAGGACTCCTAAAGTGATAGCTGAGAGCTGTCTGCCGAGTCGACCTCCTTCTCCTAGCAGTGTGGCTGTAGTAGAAACTACGCAGCCCTTGGCATGGTCATATTGGGACTGCTCAATGAGTGTCTAGGAGGAAACCAGGAGAGTTATACAGCTCTGAGGTGTTTTAATTCTTAGTCAGATTTGCATACAGAAATCCACTGGACATCAAGAGATGACAGAAAGAGCGGCTGGTCTGCTTCACCTTCCTCCCGCTCAGTACTTAATAGCATTCCTTCCAGGCAGTCCACTTACTGCAGGGAACAGAGCTGCTGAGAAAGGGCTCCTTTCTCCCTCTGAGCGCGCACAGCTCCCCAGAGGAAAATTTTGGACATAGAGATTAATTTCTTATTTATTTATTAGATTTATATGCCTTCCTCCCCCAGAAAGGCTCAGGGCAGCTTACACTTGAAAAGCAAGATAAATTGGCAGTAAAATGTTATGTATACTATTTAATTGCTTTTTTTTTAATCGTTCACCAGAGATGATCAAGCTGTATGTCTAAACAAAGACTGATAAGGGTCTTCTAAGGAATGGGTAGTATTTCTATTCATGGTGAGTGTGTTCTAAGGACTGTCAAACCCCAAACCATCCATTAATTCTGATATCTTTTAAAAAGGACTTTTTTTTTTTACAGTATCTGTTTAACCATGAACTACCCACATAATGTGAACAGGTTGAGTGTGAGCAGTTTAAGGAATAAGTCTGTGTACTGAGCATGCTTATCCTCTGCATGTGAATTATGATATTCACTGCCAGAGGGACAATACTTGGAAAAGATGGCTTAGAAATTCACTTAGGGGTTGAATTTGTTTCCTGCTCAATTCATAACTTTTATTTAGAATTACTGAATTCTTAAAGACA